AGAAGATAGAACTGGTGGGAAGAAGAGGATAGAACTGGTGGGACGGAGAAGATAGGACTGGTGGGACGGAGAGGATAGAACTGGTGGGACATTGAGGATAAAACTAGTGGGAAGAAGAGGATAGGACTGGTGGAACGGAGAATATAGAACTGGTGGGACGGAGAGGATAGTACTGGTAGGACGAAGAAGATAGAACTGGTTGGACATTGAGTATAGAATTGGTGGGACGGAGAGGATAGAACTGGTAGGACATTGAGGATAGAATTGGTGGGAAGAAGAGGATTCTTGTGAGTGTAAGCATGAAGTAGGTTTTGTTTGTATGTTATTATGTGTAGATCTTTATCTAGATTACTAGTATTGAGAATAGAATGACATTATTATAAATAAACTTTCTTTTTTACTTTCATTCGTTTCTCAATCAAAGTTTGAAGTTACAATAATTTAATTTCATTCATTTTTAATAAAACATCTTAATTCTACATTTTTGTTTTTCTTCATTAAAAACTTAAACATTTTTATTTCGTTCATTTACATAGTAAACTTTAATTTTTTAAATTTCATTCATTTTCACGGAACACTTGCAATTTCTTTAATCATAAGTTTTCAAGCAAAATATCCAGTCCCTTAACTTTATTTATTCTTGGACAAAACTAAGTTTTTTTTAACGTATAGACCAAAAAGAGAGTGTTTAGCATCTCAATTTAAACCGTACAGAAAGAGTTATCTAGCGCTGGTTGATCTGTAAAGAAAGCTTGAATTGTAAAAAAAGAGTTATCTGGCACCTAAGGTTGAACTGTCAAGAAAGAGTTATCTGGCACCTAAGGTTGAACTGTAAAGAAAGACTTATCTGGCACCTAAGCTTGAACTGTAAAGAAAGAGTTATCTGGCACCTTAGGTTGAATTGTAAAGAAAGAGTTATCTGGCACCTAAGGTTGAACTGTAGAGAAAGAGTTATCTGGCACCTAAGGTTGAACTGTAAAGAAAGAGTTATTTAGCACCTAAGCTTGAACTGTACAGAAAGAGTTATCTGGCACCTAAGCTTGAACTGTAAAGAAAGAGTTATCTGGCACCTAAGCTTGAAATGGTAAGAAAGAGTTATCCGGCACCTAAGCTTGAACTATAAAGAAATAGTTATCTGGCACCTAAGCTTGAAATGTAAAGAAAGAGTTATCCGGCACCTAAGCTTGAACTATAAAGAAAGAGTTATCTGTCACTTTAGCTTGAACTATAAAGAAAAAGTTATCTGGCACCTAAACTTGAACTGTAAAGAAAGAGTTATCTGGCACCTCTGGTTTAACCGTAAAGAAAGAGTTATTTAGCATCTAAGGTTTAACCGTAAGAAAGAGTTATTTAGCTTCTATGGTGTAACTGTAAAGAAAGAGTTATTTAGTTTCTAAGGTTTAACCGTAAAGAAAGAGTTATCTGGCACCTAAGGCTGAACTGTCAAGAAAGAGTTATCTGGCACCTTCTTATGAATTGTAAAGAAAGAGTTATCTTGCACTAAAGGTTTAACCCTAAAGAAGAGTTATTTAGCATCTAAGGTTTAATCGTAAGAAATAGTTATTTAGCTTCTTAATCTTAGGTGTAACCATAAAGAAAGAGTTATTTAGTTTCTAAAGTTGTACTGTAAAGAAATAGTTATCTGGCACCTAAGGTTGAACTGTCAAGAAATAGTTATCTGGCAGCTAAGGTTGAGCTGTGAAGAAAGAGTTATCTGGCACCTAAGGTTTAGCTGTAAAGGAAGAGGTATCTAGCTTCTAAGGTTTAACCGTAAAGAAAGAATTATCTAGCTTCTATGGTTTAACTGTAAAGAAAGAGTTATTTAGCTTATAAGTTTTAACCGTAAAGAAAGAGTTATCTAGCTTCTAAGGTTTAACCGTAAAGAAAGAGTTATTTGATTCTAAGGTTTAACCGTAAAGAAAGAGTTATTTAGCTTCTAAGATTGAACCGTAAAGAAAGTTATTTAGCGCCTAAGCTTTGAACTGTAAAGAAAGAGTTATCTCGCGCCTAAGCTTTGAACTGGAAAAAAAGAGTTATCTCGTGCCTAAGCTTTGAATTATAAAGATAGAGTTATCTAGCGCCAAAGCTTTGAATTATAAAGAAAGAGTTATCTAGCGCCTAAGCTTTGAATTGTAAAGATAGAGTTATCTAGCGTCTACGACTGAACCGTAAAGAAAGATATAATAACCATCTGGGTTTAACCGTAAAAAAGAGTTATCTATACTGGAAGCAGTACGCTGAGTTGCAGTACACTTCATTTGAACTTTGAAGTATGCTTTGTTTGTTTATTTTTGGTTTTTCATGTGTTTATAACTAAACTATCTGGACATCTATGGGTCAGTAGGGATTCTATATTCCTATACAGTATGTTGCGGTCAATCCTTTGCCTTACTTTAGTAGTTGGCGCCCAGGTAGTTTTTGTTTAAGAGTTTTTTCATATTATTTTTTTTCTATTGTTTAGATTTTCGGAAAAAACGCGTGTCATAAACTCAAGTTTCAAACCAAACCTTTGCAGCCTGACCTTTTGTTTTTGAATCTCGGGACAAACATTTAACTCCATCTTTTATTATATCGATTAATCTATTTCCACTTCAATATACCGTGAGGGCCATACCCTGCAGGAGTAACTTTAACTGGGGGATCAAGCATTGATCTTCAAATTGAAAAGTGCCTACATTAAATATCGAGATCAAGAGTTCAAGATTATGAATATTCTGCACACAAATGTTCCGATCTCTGATGTAGTAGACCGTTGATGGTATGAATACATGAATTATGTTACATCGAATAGTTTAAGTTTAAAATATCAAAGATTTTCATCAGCAGCTTGGAAAGATAAAGGGATAAGAAAACTGAGGTTTGTAGTCTCAGATATGAACCTTGAATTATAAGTTGAATTTCAAAAGCAAATTGAAAAAATTAATTTTGAAAAGAAAAATATAACTTAAAATCTAATTTTTTAGCCTTGTCTTTTTTAACAAAAAAAATCAGCCAATTTGGTCCAGCCGTTTGGCCAGTCATAGCTAACACATAAAATATATACCAGCGAAGAGCTTTATTATATAGTTACTAGCTAATGTGCCCAGTGTTGCCCGTGGAATTTTCAAAAAATCTAATTTTGAAAAAAATTGGAATTTTTTAGTTTATGTTACCCCCAGGGTACTCATTGGTTTCCTCAAAAAATGTCAGCCAATTTGGTCCGTCCGTTTGGCCAGCTGTAGCTAATTAAAAAATCTACTTATGGGTTACCTCAAAAAATTCAGCCAATTTTGTCCAGCCTTTGGCAAGCTATAGCTAATTTATAAATATATATATTTATAGATTTATTAAATAGATTATTCATTATTTATTTTTTTTTGTTATTTTGTTATTTCTATTTCGTAAGATCCCAAAATAACTGTTTACTGTTTAGGCAAGTGTATGGGATGGATATGGATCTGCAGTAGGATATGGTTATGGACAGGTCAATAAAGGATATGGATATGGGCAGGTCAATAATGGATATGTTGGGGTTGGATATGGATATGGGGGAACTGGTGGTTATGGATACAATAAAGGGTATGGACATGGAGGGGCTACTGGATATGGATACAGTAAAGGCTATGGAGGATCTGTTGGATATGGAAAGTGAGGATACAACACTGGAGGCTATGGATACAACAAAGGCGGCTAGTAAGTATCTCAACATTTAGTTTTTATGGATTTAATTATTATTGATTCTTGGTTATATTCTAGTCGGAAGAGACGTGATGTGTCTGGTACGAATATTAGTGGTTACACAACTAAACCTAAAGTGTTCAGACCAACCTATGGATATAAGGCCGGATACAAGAGCGGATATCAAGGCAGATATAGTGGCGGATATCAAGGCAAATATGGAGGCGGATATGTACCTTCTGTATCTATCAGTCCGTATGAACAGGTTTATAATCAGTACTCTTTACATAAAGATTCTCTACCTAACGGACCTATTCATGGGACTAAGAGAGAGTTAGAGTATCGTAATATACTCCAATCCTATAATAAGTACTCTGTTCATAAAGAATCTCTACCTAAGGGACCTATTCATGGGACTAAGAAAGAGTTCGAGTACCGTAATATACTCCAATCCTATAATCCTGGTCAATCTTCTACTCCTGCTCCATATATTACACAGACAGTGGACTACAAGCCTCCAGTGGACTATTCAGTTTACTACAAATCTCCAATGGTCTATCCGGTAGACTACACGCCTCCAATGGACTATCCAGAAGACTACAAACCTCCAATGGACTATCCGGTAGACTACAAGCCTCCAATGGACTATCCAGTAGACTACAAGCCTCCAATGGACTATCCAGTAGACTACAAACCTCACATGGATTATCCAGTAGACTACAAACCTCCAATGGACTATCCGGTAGACTACAAACCTCCAATGGATTATCCGGTAGACTATAAACCTCCAATGAACTATCCAGTAGACTACAAACCTCCAATGGACTATCCAGTCGACTACAAACCTTCAATGGACTATTCCGTAGACTACAGACTTTCAATGGACTATCCAGTAGACTACAAGCCTCAAATGAACTATCCAGTAGACTACAAACCTCCAATGGACTATGAAGTGAACAACAAACCTTCAATGGATTATTCCGTAGATTACAGACCTCCAATGGACTATCCAGTAGACTACAAACCTCCTATGGACTATCCAGTAGACTACAAACCTCCAATGGACTATCCAGTAGACTACAAGCCTCCAATGGACTATCCAGTAGACTACAAACCTCCAATTGACTATCCGGTAGACCACAAGCCTTCAATGGACTATCCAGTAGACTATAAACCTAAAATGGAGTATCCAGTGGACTACAAGCCTCCCATGGACTATGCAGACTATGATCCTCCAATGGACTATTCAGTAGACTACAAACCTTCAATGGACTACTCTGAATATGATTACACAAATTATCCTGTTAACAACCCAAAGCATTCCAATGACTACAAACAACATCCCAAGGTTTACCAACAACACCCAGAAGTTAATAAACAAAAATCAGAGGTTTATCAACAACATCCTGAGGTGTATCAACAACATCCTGAGGTGTATCAAGAACATCCCAAGGTTTATCAACAACATCCCAAGGTTTATCAACAACATCCCAAGGTTTATCAACAACATCCCTAGGTTTATCAACAACTTCCAGAGGTTTATCAACATCCTGAGATTTATCAACATCCTGAGATTTATCAACATCCAGAGGTTTATCAATAACATCTCGGCCACAACAAACCATAATTTACAGTAAAGTGTCCCATAAAAAAGCTGGTAAATCATATAAATGCTTGATTTTATTTTGCATTATTACATTAAATGTATTTATGAACTTAAATAAATATAGTTTGTTTGAAGAGAATATACTTATTTTAAATAGCTAATTGTGATAATTTGAAAACGAATTTTATCTTTTTTGCTAATTTTTTTAACCGAAACTTGTATCTTTTCTCAGTTGTTTCATTTATCTATTATACTTTGCAAATCGACACCGCTAACAATCTGATCTAAAGTAAACTTAATTAGCCTGAACTCAGTCTCTATCTAGCTGAACCCTGTATATTCAAAGAACCCTGTTATCCAGATCTAAAGGACACCTATTCTCTCTCTGAACCCTGTATAATCTCTGACCCCTGATATCCTGATCTAAATGAAACCTAGTCTCTCTCTGAACCCTGTATAATCTCTGACCCCTGATATCCTGATCTAAATGAAACCTAGTCTCTCTCTGAACCCTGTATATTCTCTGACCCCTGATATCCTGATCTAAATGCATGAAACCTAGTCTCTCTCTGAACCCTGTATATTATCTGAACCCTGATATCTTGATGTAAATGAAACCTAGTCTCTCTTTGAACCCTGTATATTCTCTGAACCCTGATATCCTGATCTAAATGAAACCTAGTCTCTCTCTGAACCCTGTATATTCTCTGAACCCTATATCCTGATCTAAATACATGAAACCTAGTCTCTCTCTGAACCCTGTATATTCTCTGAACCCTGATATCCTGATCCTAAGGAAACTCCACCACATTCCTAGCATTCCCTTCATGTCTGAGTAAACATTAAAAACAAACAATGGATCCCACTGTCCCCCCCCCCCGTGACAGATTAAACTAACATTTACGCTTCCTGCCTGACGCACCATAGGCGCAGATATTGCTTATAATCATTGTGCAAATAATATTCAAAGACTGATTTTTTTACAATCTCTGTATCTCAGGTCTTTTTCGTGAAATTTTGAATTCAACCGTTAGCATCAAGCTTAAACTATATTAGGATAAAAGCCATAATATAATGAGACAAACTCTTAACTGTAAGAATAACAGTTATGTTTACATTAATGTATTTACATAAACAAAGGATATGAGTTTTTGCCAAAAACTCGAATTTTCTAATCCTTTTATCTATTGCAACCTGATGGTATAAATCTTTGAAATTTCAAGCATTTAGTTTATTTGATCCAAAAAAATCAAAGTTTGAAGTATAAAAGGGTTTAGGAATTAGAAAGAACTCAGTTCCATTCTTGAAACGATAACTTTTTTGTGCTTTTAAATTTACCAGAGATTAAAAAAATTTTGCTTAGATTTACAAAATTTTATGATTATTGTTAAAGATTAATACTTTTTCAATTAGGCTGACAAACAAATACCGCAAATTATTTCAAAATTCAAAGTTTAAATTTTAAAGTTGTCTCTCATCTGCCCTTGCAAAATAACGCTATTGTTCCAATAGATATATCTATAACATTAAACGGGAAAAATTTGAATAGATATACCGCACACTCTGTGTTTTCTTGAAAATATGGTTCCCTGCATGGCAGTTTTTTGTGTCTTTCTTGACCAAATATTTTCATATACCGTTAAATAAGTATATTAGGTTTTGTAGAATAGAATAAACCACTTTATTGTTATATTTCATGAGTTTTTGGTCGTCATTACAGGGAGTGTTCTCGAAAAATTAAAGGGGGTAAAGGCTTACGGCGAAAAATGAGCTCTTTTGATCGCTACTAATCTTACTTCTATCGGTTGTGTCTATAAGGAGAAAATTGTTAAAAACGACTCATACCGAAGAACGCTTATTTTTTGCCGTAAGCCTATACCCCCTTTCATTTTTCGAGAACACGTCCTTTAAAGTCTCATCCTTTTGTGGGTATCCCTGTATATTCAAGATATCTGTATATTGTGTGCAATGTGCATTGTATGCAGTTTAGGATTATAATCTTTGTAACAATGTCACGATCATGAAGAAGATTAAGCTTATTTAACCATCAGCCTCAAACAAATAAGTAATGTTAATTCTAGACTCTTAAATATCATCAACTTTAATATAAGTATTTTATCAAAAGTACCCGGCGTTGCCAGCGCGCATTGTGCGGTTGCCCATTGAATAATTGTGTGTACATCTCAGACTTATTTTTCTCACTCGAAGGAAAAAAAGGAAATGAGTCTTTGCCACAACTTTGGATTTATCAACTCCTTTATAAATGTCTTAACGGTCTAATGAGGGATAAGCCACCTATTCTATGTTACCCAATATCCATTAGAAACAAATGTAACATTTTCTATTTGTTTCAACCCTCTAAATGGTTCAGTTTGGTATATGGGTGACTGGCCGGCGTTTAATGTAATTTTAAGAATCGTCCAACTTCGCAGAAGACGACCTTCTGCGTCGAAACGGTTAAACCAAGGTATATGCCCCCCAATCTATGATACTAAGGGAGAAGTTGTAAGATTTTTCACTGTTTTTGTTACATCTTTCTAAATGTTTCGGTTTAAGAGTTTATGAGCATAACATAAAGTAAAGTTATACAAAGTTACAACAAAAAGTATAAAATCTTTTTATAGAATATAATAAATATAATAAATGATGACAAATTAGCTAAGAAGCGCTGAAATTTTGTCTACACTTTAGCAAAATTTATTACTTCGGTCACACAAAACCATTAAGATTAAAAAAGCTTGTTAAAGGGGGTAATTTTCTTTTTTATATTGATCCTAACATTCTCAAAATTCCCATGTTTTTAATTGTTAAATTTTCTCAAAATTTCAATATCAACACGTACCATCTTATTGTCATCCCACACAACTCTAAGATTGGCTTTTTTAAATAAAATTCCTCTAAAGAATTCCTTCAACCTAAAAGTTATAATTTTGTGTCTAGTCATACGTTGAATTTTCCTATTTCATCCAAGGACCGCCTCATATTTTGTTAAAAGCATTTCCAAGTATTTCAATTCCATTATCTAATTATGTTTTTATCTGAACTCTTGAACCGGCCCCTTTCACGGACACATACACTTTATTAACATTTTCATAAACACAAGGACATATACACTTTATTAACATTTTCATGAACACAAGGACATATACACTTTATTAACATTTTCATGAACACAAGGACATATACACTTTATTAACATTTTCATGAACACAAGGACATATACACTTTATTAACATTTTCATGAACACAAGGACATATACACTTTATTAACATTTTCATGAACACAAGGACATATACACTTTATTAACATTTTCATGAACACAAGGACATATACACTTTATTAACATTTTCATGAACACAAGGACATATACACTTTATTAACATTTTCATGAACACAAGGACATATACACTTTATTAACATTTTCATGAACACAAGGACATATACACTTTATTAACATTTTCATGAACACAAGGACATATACACTTTATTAACATTTTCATGAACACAAGGACATATACACTTTATTAACATTTTCATGAACACAAGGACATATACACTTTATTAACATTTTCATGAACACAAGGACATATACACTTTATTAACATTTTCATGAACACAAGGACATATACACTTTATTAACATTTTCATGAACACAAGGACATATACACTTTATTAACATTTTCATGAACACAAGGACATATACACTTTATTAACTTTTTCATGAACACAAGGACATATACACTTTATTAACATTTTCATGAACACAAGGACATATACACTTTATTAACTGTTTTCATAAACACAAGGACATATACACTTTATTAACTGTTTTCATAAACACAAGGACATATACACTTTATTAACTGTTTTCATAAACACAAGGACATATACACTTTATGAACTGTTTTCATAAACACAAGGACATATACACTTTCTGAACTGTTTCTTGACCACAAGGACATATACACTTTATTAACTGTTTTCATAAACACAAGGACATATGCACTGTCTGAACTATTTTTATAAACACAAGGACATATACACTTTATTAACTGTTTTCATAAACACAAGGACATATACACTTTCTGAACTATTTTCATAAACGCAAGGATATATACACTTTCTGAACTATTTTCATAAACACAATGATATTATGATTAATACAGTGCACAAGTACACATTTTCTCTTTATTCATGCAGAGATTCTGAACTGCGTTCATGATTTCAAGTACACAACTTTTTTTAACTTTAAGAACTGCAAAAGTACTATGTGTGTGTTACTTTTAAGATTAAAAGTAACAGATCCTTTTCGTGTTTACTTTTTGTACTGATTTCATGGATTTAAATTACCATGGAATAAACAATTTGGTCCTTATCAAAGTAAGCTGTCACTTTCGACCCCAAATTGACCAATTAATCAAACATTTTTGGTAATGTTTGCTCTCGGCATATGTGATTATAGTTCAAAAGTAAATTAAGTCAACTCTGTAAATCGATGTAATGCAAAGATAATATAATATTACATCATCCTTAATGTATTATGGTTGTTGGATTATAGACCAAAACACGGTTGAATTCAGATTTAAGAATGAATATTTAGTTTAACGTTTAATTAAGCATTGTTAAACACAAAACTAGTTCTGACTCTTCTAAAAACAGTCTTGATTTTCTGAGAACAGTTTTGCATAACAGTTTTACAGGAATGTGAGTAAAAAGAGACACGAAACCTCTTCTTTGGTCCCCAGTGTGTCAGACCAATTAGTATCTGGAGTTTATATCTTGAACCTGAGAAGGAGTAAGAACTCCGTATCAGATTCTATCCCAGGGAATTCTCCATCTCAGTTCTCCAGGCTCCAGGATAACAGCTGTCCCAAAATATTCCTTATTATTATTATTTTCATTGTCATAATCATTATAATTATTATTTTTATTATTATTATTAATAATAACAATAATTTCATTATCATTATTGTAATTGCTATTAACACTTTTATTATTTTCGTTATTAATCAATACAATACTAATAATCTTAGAATTTATTTATTTATTTATTTATTATTAGACATAGTTTTAGGCAACCCTATATTTGTCAGATGAAGGATGTATGATGAGAAAACTGATAAAAATGATTTG